CTGACCTTGGGGCCCAGAAACCTCACTTTTTCAGAGCTCCCTGGTTAAGTCTGATTAGCCAGAAAGTCAAGTTGATCCAATCTCTACCAACTTGGTCATTTTCCCTTTTTAAGCCATTGTCATGACATTTGGCATTTATCTAACCCCTCCAGCTTACATTGTGCATTATGATAATTTATGGAATACCCTATTAATGGCCCCAAATATGCATGATTTTTATGTTTTTGCAAATCATGGGAAATTTTGGATTAATAACCTTGAAAATTTTGTTAAAATCATTACTTAAAATTTTTTCTTATATATTTCCTGTAGTTTCCTAAATCCAGTTCCAGCAAAGTGATGTAATACCCGAGAAAAGGAAAGTAAACCTAAGAGCAATAATGGGTTTCAGAGAAACAAAAGTGAAACTTTATTGCTGATTATGCAATTAAACAGGAGGGAGAAAGTAGACAAGCAAGTCAAAGTGATTAGACATTTCAATACATTGTTAGAAGTTTGCATGTTTTATATGATTGCATTAGAAACATAATATATATTTTTAAAACTTTACAGACTGTCATACATATTAAACTTCATTGAATTATGTCAGTTGGAAATACTGAGACAAACATATTTGTCAGAATTTCTATTATTTGAGTTTATTATTCATAAAAAAATGTTTATCTTTGTTCTAAGCTAATAGATTTTCTGGCTACTGTTAATGCATAGTCCGTAAGATCTTTGCTCATGAGTAGTTCAGTTCAATATAATTCTGTTTTTGAAGTGATTGGTGGTAACCATATTTGTGGTTTATCATTTTATGGTGGAAAAGTATATATAGCTGATGTATTAAAATGGTGAAATTCTTTTCTTTATGACTAATATGTTTCCCTAATAAGTTTTAATAATTTCCTTGATCTCTGGTTTTCTTTAGGATATATATAAAAATTAGATGATGATATCAATATATGTTTGTAATGATGTTACTGAAATCTAAATTGCAATTTTAAGGTAAAAAGTTTTAAAACAATATGTAAGCTGTTGAAATGTTGCACCAATATCAGGACTCATATTTCTGAGTATCTTAATTTTTTGTTGATTCATTAGTATGTGCGGAACATGTATCCATGGACTTGAATAGTTAGCCCTCAGTAACTGGTCTGTTCCCAGAACAATTTTAAATGACTAATAGCAAGGAGAAACCAGGTTCTTCTCAAGAAGTCAAAGATCCCTGTACCTTTCTTGTAGATTTAAAAGCTCTTGTGGTCTATATATGTTAAAGTATGAGTATTCAGTCATGTTTTGCAGTGATATACTACCAAGCAGGTGACCAAGATGTTAGGGTAGGTCTGTTTTCCCCAAACATCTATAACTCACTGTCGGTCCTAAAAATCACAGCATTAGAGGCTTCTTGGGCTAACCTAGATGTCTGTCTGTACCTTGGAGGGCTGGGACTTCACGTTGCTAAACCCTGGGCCTGTCATGTGGAATGAGGTGAAGATATATTGAAAAGTTCCTAACTACTTTAAACAATTAAGATTCATATGAAATTAAGCTGACTGGGTAGACATAGTTCATAGCAGAAAAGAGAATCTCAAAATAGGGACCCAGAGCACTTTCATTTTCATAGCAGGGAGGGTCAGCTCAGGAAAGGTAATGAGCACATGATGTTATACAGGTGCAAGGTGTGCTTTTGCACATTCTGGAGGGACTAGTGCCAATTGGAAGGTGCAGACACTCAACGAGAACCTTCAGGACACACTGAAAATAACCTTGCCTGTCCCACTGTTTCCCTAGTGTTTGTCCTTACCTGTAGAACCCAACTTGACTACCCAGTCACTTAAACTTATAATTCTATAAGACAAACTAAATTTATGGTCTGTTTAGATTAAAACACTTTAACTAGTTTCGCATTGTCTTTGTTGTGCACCAGCTGGCAGAAAGCTGTGATGTGGAGAGGGTATTGGAACCCACCTGGAAGGTAGAGCCTGTAGAGGCAGCCTTCCACATAGGAAAAATGATTGAGAGTAAATGGGCAAGGAATGGGTCCCTATAATTATTTTTATCTTATCTTCCCATCTGAGAAACTTAAAATAGCCCGATTCTACCCCACAGCCAGTATTTTCCTTCCACAAAAAACTAAAATTATGATTTGAATAAAATTGTAATTAATCTTACTAGCATCAGTCCCAAAGAGTCTTCTTTAGTTAAACTTTGAGGTCAAAGAGAAAAGGAATTGCCAAGGAGGGGTGTGTGTGTGTGTGTGTGTGTGTGTGTGTGTGTGTTATAGATATAGCTTACCATCCACTGTTACCATGTCTTCAGATCTCATAAATTTTCTATCGTCAATGGAATTTCTCCCTGATTCCTCTGCAGATTATAACATGTCAGCTTTAGAAAATGCTGCACATACAAATCCTAGACATCAAAGCCCAAATGCAAAAAAAAAAAAACAAAAGATTTTTCTATTAGATTTCTCATATATATAATGGCAAAATCAGATGTGTCCAGAAGAGTCAGCTGATCTGGTCTAATGAAAGGCATTGTGGCTCACAGGTTCATCTTTTAATGGCACCAAATTTAGCTGTCACCATTTAGTTCTTCATAGTTCTTGGGTATACCTCTCCCCCTTTCCTCCACCTCTACCTTCCTCTCATGCATATATTCATACTGTCACACACTGTAAAATTTACATACAGTGTATGTTTATATAATGCTAAAACTTTCATTTGAATAAGAAAACCAGTTGTCCAGACGTCTTCCAGTGTAATGATTACAGACTATCTTGCAGGCTTGTAATGACTGACCAAAGGCTTTACTTTCCACCCATGGCTTGTAAACAAAAACACCTAGTTATTTGTTTTTGTACTTCACACATCATTCATGTTCAGTATGAGAAATAATCAGAAAAGAATCCTGTCCTTTACAAGTGAGTAACTTTCAGGGGCAGGAATAAGTGAAAATAAAGTTCAAGTGTTACTTGCCAGCTATTAGGTTGGTACAAAAGTATTTGCAGACTTAGCCTTTACTTTCAATGGCAAAAATCACAATTACTTTTGCACCAACCGATTATCCTGTATACCAAGTAAGGGGATATAGAACTTACCATTTATAGAGTGTTTTCAATAGATTGGGCACTTTTGCAAAGCATTTGGGAAAGCGCTGCTTTACTGGAAGCAAGTATGCAGGGTCTCTCCTGCTAGCATGTCCAAATGCATGTGCCAGTGGCAGTATTATTTGGAAACTTATAAAAATCTTACTGTTTCTAATATTTGATAATTTGTCTCTGTGGATTCCTAGTTGAGAATAATTTGAATAGTAATAGAGTTAACATCGTTTATTACCAAACTTTCATCCTAAAATCAGCAAAAGATAATGGATCTAAATTTTTGCTTTATTTAAGATGTAGGTGTAAAAGAAAATAATTGGGAGGAATCAGAGATTCTTTGCAAGTCCGTAGCATGTATCTCCTCTGGAGGTGGGGACACTCATAACAAAAGACAAAAAGAATATAAGAAAGTGTTTCATTGGTTATTTATTGACAAAAAGCACTCAAAATGCAAACAGGTGGTATATGTTGATATCGTGGCCTGACTGGCTGCTAATTTCTGAACCAATCTGTTTGTGCATTTAAGTCATTTATTCTCTATTTCAAAAAGATTTAATCTATTAAAGACTTAAGATCTGTGTTCCATTATAATGGTGAAAGATTTTGACCAGATAAGGGAAAAGAAAACACAACAACTTGACTTTTCAGAATACAGATCTTTTCATCGGGGGCCACTTCACAAAGGAGGTTGGACACCAAAGACAGAAAACCTAAAGATTTTAAAGAAACAGAAGGATTATGGGCAGTTTTAAGGGTCCATTTGCAAATGGAGATTATGAACTTATGGACAATAAAAATTACGGTAAAGGTACATATGTATTAATCTGGAATGTTGCTCATAATATATTCGTAAGTGAAAAAACAAATTTAAAACTGTTGTATTCTGTTGGAGAGTAAGGCACGAGAAGTGGCAACTTTAGATATGGTGGCCAGGGAAGCCCTCTTGCAGGACTTGAGCTAAGATAGACTGCAGAGGACAGGTGCAGTGGCTCATACCTATGATCCCAGTGCTTTGGGAGGCCAAAGTGGGAGGATCACTTGAGCCCAGAAGTTTGAGACCAGCCTGGGCAACAAAGTGAGACCCTTGTCTTTACAAAAAACACAAAAATTAGCTGAGTATGGTGGTGCATACCTGCAGTTCCACCTACTTGAGAGGCTGAGGTGGCAGGATCGCTTGAGTTGAGGAGGTGGAGGCCGCAGTGAACTGTGATCATGCTACCACACTCCAGCCTGGGCGACAGGCAGGTTTTCCTTGAGGTTTGTTTTGAGACAAATTAAAAAAAAAAAAAAGGTTTTGAGACAGGCTCAACAAAAAAGACTACAGGAAAGAAACAACCCTGAAAAGATCTGAAATTAGAGCATTCCAGATAGAGAGAAAAGTTAAAAAAAAAAAAAAAAAAGGAAAAAGTTGGGGGTGGGTACTTACGTTTAAACCTGGAATCGTTTCCTCCTGTTTTTCCTATAGTGCTTAGTATCGTTATGTGCATAGATGAGGGCTATATTCAATAAATGTTTGTTAGGTTACCTAAGAGCTGATAAAAGCTTTGGGACAGTGAGGATTGTGATGATAATACTTAGTTAAAATAGGTACAATTTCCCTTCTCTCACTATTTTTGATGGCCTTTCTTTTACATAATAGGAAGAAACACAGTTTAGATAAATTCCCATCTGTCTTTGTCATTTTTCATGTCAATACAGTATGAATAAAAGATTTTACATTGTCTTCTAGAGTTATTGTAACATGCTTTTAGAAGATATCTAAGTCAAATGCTTAGCTTGAAAGTATTTTTACATTCTAAAATGATATTTATGATTATGACTGAATGAAGTTGTTTACTGTGTTGGAAGAGAGCATAAAAATAACACATTGAGAAATCAATTTTAAAGCTTAATCTTTTTTCCTTCTTTATAGGGCTGATTCCACTAGAAGCAAGATGGCCGAACTCAATACCCATGTGAATGTCAAGGAAAAGGTAAGATCAAGTTATATGTTGGCTCACAGAAACTCCAAACTGAGTAATGCAGTCCCTAGCCGGTAAAAACTCAATTACAATGGAGAAAGGGAAAATGGTTTCAGGGGATACATAATAAGTTTGCCACAGCAGCAAACTGTTTAGTAGAAAAAATAAGTAATGTTTACAGAAAGCATGTTAAGCATATTACACTCATTTTTTTTCAGTTACTCTTGACCATAACCCCATAAAGAAGATACTGGTGTTATTTCTGTTTTACAGAGGTGGAAGTTGAGAAACAGAGAAGTTAAGTAATTTGGCTAAGTTCACATAGCTGGTAAACAACAGAGCTGAGATTTGAACCCAGGCAGTGTGCCATTCCACAGTTCATACTCTTCACCCCCACGCTGGGTTGCATCTAAGAGCAAGAGTATTATATTACCTCTTCAGAAATGGACTCAGAGAGAGACATCCAGTGTATCACCTAGTGGTCATGCTGGGCAGCCTTTGAAGTTGCTTTCAACCCTGAGAGGTCATCACTGTGAAAATCCTCCAACTCCTCATGATTTGTTGGAGACTGATTCCACTTCAAAGCTCTTTCTAAGTCTGTGCTGTGTCCTCCACTGAGGGTCAGAATCCCTCACTTGCCACTTGTGCTGCCTTGCACTGTTAGCTCTTAAGGATCATAAACCATACACCATGAAGATAAATTTGTCCAACCCATTTATCTGACCCCATAGGAACTGAGGCCCTAGCACTGATTTGCTCGTGGTTGTACAGGCAAGTGGGAGAGCCTGGACGGGAGCCCAAGCCAGCACAATGCTGGTGTACCTTCCACAGCGTCATCCCACAGCCTTCTCTGGACTGTAAACCATGTGAGGGCAGGAGTTTGTCTTTCATCTCTTTATATCCTCACCATACCAAAAATACAGAGTGAAGGATGAGAGGATACATCTGTGGAGCCCTTACTACATTTTCTTTCACTTAGCAAAGGTGTAATAGACCCAAACACTGCTCTAGATACCTGGGGTATGGCACTGAACATGTAGATGAAGTTCCTGCTCCCATGGAGCTCACATTTGGGGGCAAGGAAGCAGAGAATAAACAAATGAACACAATTGTTCTAGGCAGTGATGACTACTATTAGAGAAAACAGCAGGGCGGCTTGATGAAGGGGGAGGCAAGGGTAGGTGGCTGCTCTACATGGGGTGGTCAGGGAAGCCCTTTGGAGGAGGTGACATTGGATTGAGATAAAGATGGGGAAAGAAACAACCATACAAAGACCTGAGGAAAGAGAATTCCAGACAGAGAGAAAAGCAAAGGAGATGCTTAAGGTGGACTAAGTTGAATGTGTTTGACAAGCAAGTGGTCAGTGTGGTCCGAGTGTCGTAGGCAAAGGTGATAGATAATGGGAGATGAAGTCAAAGAATACCACTTAGAATGCCGGCTCCCTATCCAGGTTCGTGGATTTCCAAGGGATCCGTGGTTAGAATCCATGGATCTATGAACCAAGATGAGAACAAATACATTTTTATCTTCACTAACATCTAAATGAAATTTACCATTTCCTCTAGTCATGAATGTAGGCAAAGGAAAAAAAAAAAAAGCCCACAGTAGAACAGCAGTAGCTGTGACTTTCACAATTAAAAATCCCAGATATTTTCGTATCCAATTGCATTTGTTGCAGATATCCTGAAATGTTATTTGTGCGTCACTGCTACAAAGTTACTGTAGTTATAGAATCCTGTTATTATAGGATGTTATTTGATGTGGTAATAGAGAAGTACATATATTACTGTAGCATGTTTGGTTTTTATTAATAGTCTAAGTATATTTCAATATAAGTAGTTTCCTTTGTAATCACATGTAGTTTATTTCATGAATTTTAAAACATTATTTTGAGAAGGACCCCACAGGCTTCACCAGGCTGCCAGAGGGGGTCTGTGTACTAAAAGGTTTGGAACCCATGATACTGCCATGTAGGGCATTATTCAGAGGGCAAAAGGAAGCTGTTGGAAGGTTTTAAGTAGGAGTGTGACTTGATCGTACATGGTTTAAAAATCTCACCTGGCTCCATCTGTGATTGTGCTACCTATTTTATAAATCTTCATATTAAATAACCTTTCTATTTGATGAGGACACTGATGGCTGAGGTCAGACTTGTCTTGGTCAAAGTCAAACTCTCAAAAAATGTGGAGGAACGGGGATTCAAACTCACCTGTGTCTGGTTCTAAAGCCTGTGCCCTTTCCACATATTACCGCTTCTCAAAGTTTTCCATCAAAATGCCCCCAAGGCACAGAAGGACTAATGTCTTACCCCAAGTCTCTGGGTACATGGTCAAAACCAATTTCTGCCAACATACAATTTCCTTGGAGTATTATGTGTTGTCTTAAAATTTGATGCAAAATTTTTACCCATTGTATTTCATAATATATTCCACACATTATTTCAGTATAAAACCATTGTAACTTTGTGATACTTATTATGAAATAGACATACCATGCCTCAAGTCCTTGGGGTCTTCAAAATGATAAGTGTATTTTTGCATCCTAATAAACTGACCTTTGGCTGAGGCCTCTTGGATATCAGCCAGTGGGGACTGGTTGCCCAGGGAACCAACCAGGTGATTACAGCATTGGAATTTTCAATTCTACCCACCAAATAGGCAGGAGAGGAGAGCTGCTAAAGGTTACCAGTGATCACCAATGGCCAATGATGTAAGCAGTCATGACTATGTAATGAAGCCTCCCATAAAAACCCAAAAGGACTGAGCTAAACACTTGAAGGTTTGGGGTGGTGAACCCAGAGGGAGATGGAAGCTTCAAATGCCTTCCCACATACCTTGCCCTGTGCATCTCTTCTATCTTGTGTTCATCAGCAACCTTGATAATATCCTTTTCAGTAAACCAGTAAATGTGTTTACCTGAGTTCTGTGAGCTGTTCTAGCAAATTATAGATAGTCCCTGATTTATGATGGTTTAACTTAAGATTTTTGATTTTATGATGTTGCAAAAGCCATAGGTACTCAGTACCCTCCTGATTTTTTTTTATCGTTTTTTTCCCCCAAATATTTTGGTCTGTTGTTGGTTGAATCCACAGATAAGGAACCTGTGGACATGGAGGGCCAGCTGTACTTGTGCTGGTATCTGATGTGGAGGGTGGTCTTGTGGAACTGAGCTCTCAATCTGTGGTATCTGATGCTGTCTCCAGGTAAACGGTGTCAGAGTTAACATTGGGAGAATTAAGTGGGAGAACACCCAGCTGATGTCTGCTGAAGAATCCACTGCTGAAGGATTACTTGGTGGAGAGAAGACCCCACACATTTAGGTGACCAGAGGTCCCCAGAAGTGTTCTGTGTTGTGAGAGTATAGTAGGAGAAACTGAGTTTGTTTTTTCCTATATCTTTACAAACTTATTGGCCATTGAGTAAAAAATAGCAGCAAGATGTCCCCTTTTATGTCATGGCTTCTTTATATAATATCTAAACTCACAGTCATATATTCAAGTGAGAATATGCGTTCCCCAATTTAAGAAGCTTGGTTAGGCGCTGTGGTGCTGACCAAGGATCAGCGGCCTCTTTCCAAATATTTGTTGAGATAGAACAGCTCTTAAAGTTGGACCATGGAAAGGAAAAGTACTTAGAAGAATCAGACTCATAGCAATTGATCCCTGCAAAGCATGGCTGGTGGACAGACCAATATGGTAGGCTCAGCAGCCAACACTAGAGTATCTAATTCAAAACAGAGATGGCATCATGCCAATAGGGGAAAACAGACTGATCTGCCAGCACACAGATCACAGAAGTTCAGTGTGAATGCTCCATGCATAGGCTTAAGTGCCACATTCATCCAGTCCTCATGAGCAATGTCAGATGTCCACGTGTCAATGAACAGTAGATAGTGTTTTCCCACTGCATTTCCGTAACTTATGAAAATGTTGGCACTATTTTGAAAGAGGGTGATGACAATGGAAGTAGAGCTTCTCTAACTCATTTAGTGAATTCCATCTTCTCATGTCAAAAGGTTAATAGATTTCTCAACTCAATAAAATAAATTATAATAAACCACTGAAAATTCTGTTCCTTTATAATTTTTCATTGATTTATTTTCGTATACTTACTGTCTTTAGTTATTAGCTTTTATGGCCTTTTTATAATTCGTTTGTTTCTCAATCTGTCACACAGAGCAATGACATTTTAATTCTGAAAATTAAGAATAATAACAACTGTTACGTCTTAGAGTACAAGCTTGTAGAGATCAGATGAAACATCTATGTAGCATTTTTGATGCAGTATCTAGTCAAGTACTGCAGGAAATGAACTACTTCATAATAAGTGTTGGAATCAAATGAGTTCATCAGTTGTCACTAGTAGGTCCTCTATTGGATGAATTTGAGTAGGTGCTTTGGTGAGGAAATGATTCCTACCTTCATGTAGCTTTTAGTCCAAAGAAGCAGAAAGCTAATTATTTCAGGTTTAATATTCAAGACAACTGAACCTTAAAATTGGCACTCATTTTAACTGTTTTATTTTAAAATGTCTCTATCTTGTTGGATTATAATGATAAGCGTTTAATTGAAAATATAGTTGCAATCAGTGTCTGGTCTCCTCAGCATGACATACATCCCCTGCACGAGTGGACCCCTGTCCACCTTTCACACGTCTTCATGCATCTCTCAGTCACTACCCTGACCTTGAACATGTCTGCCTTCTTTGCAAAAGCTGTTTCCTCTCTCTGGGATGTCCTCCTCAGGGACCCGACTCTTTCCTTTCTCTTTCCCTGCCTGAAATGCCCTTCCTCTGTCACCTGCCTTGTACTTCTGTGGGGGTCTCTGCTTTCTCTACTGCAGCTGTTATTACAGGGAGTGTAATTGTTAGTGGTGGCTCTGTCTCCCCATGTGAGACAGTGTGCTTCTTGGAGGCAGAGATTGAGTCTTACTATTACTATTCTTGTGCCTTATATATAGTTGACCCCCCAGATAGTGTTAGATAAATGAATGAATAATGAATGAATGAACATGC